GGGAGGGACCGCACTCACCACGGTCAGGAGGGCCCCTTTCTTAAAGCAGGGGTGGAAGGCGATGAGCTGGGGCTGCGCGCCGCACTCGCCTCGCAGGAAGCCGCTGGCAGGGGGGGGAAAGGAAAAGCCACGGGTATGGCACATTATGGCACGACCGTGGGGCAGCACTCAGTCACACCGGGGAAAATACAGCGCTTTTTGGTTAAGTTTGGAGATGTTTGGGGTGCACCAGGCACAGGTAACGTGAAGCGAAAGCTTTTGGGGTGGATAATGAACAATAACAGCCAAAACACAACCGATTCTGGGGTAAAACAGTGACGCTGCCTGAAGTGGGAGCACAGGACGGCAGCGTCTCTCCGCTCTGAGGTGGGGCTGCTCTTCCCCCACCCCATCCCGGGGGAATTGCTGGTATTCAACCAACCCAAAACAAACCAACCCAAAACGTGCTGCTACGCACCAGGGCAGAAGCTCAAACACGGGGCTGTTGCGGGTGCGAAACACAGCAATGATCGTCTGGCTCCCAGGAGCGTCAGGATGCCCTGAAGGAGGGAGAGAGAGAAGGAGCAGCGAGGTTTTCCCTTGTCCGAGGGACGGCGTGGGTGTACAGACGGGCTCCTCGACGCCGGACCGGAGGACGTGGAGGTCAGGTTTTTGTGTGGGGAGGCTGGAGGCAGCTGGGCGCTGCGGAGACTGGGGGCAGGCAGCCACTGGGGCGGAGGAAAGCCGGCCGCGGATTGTGTTTTCCTCACACCGAGGTGAGCAGGATCCCCGGATGGGGCTTTCAAAGACCCTTCGGTGATTTAAAGCCTTTAAGGTGTGACGTGGGGGCCCTGTCCCTCCAACCTGAAGGTTATTTTCCATCCCATCGCAGTTTCTGCACCGAGATCCTCACAGGACCTACCTGGAGGTGCAGAGGAGAGGCGGGTGCCAGCTATGGCAGTCCTGGTACCCTCAGGTTTTTCCCCCCACTTGGTTTCTTCCCCACCCAGCTTTAAGGACAGCATTAAAAAAAAGTTTGGGCCCAGCAGCTTCAGTTGTCTCCCTGCTGGTGGTGAGCAGGGAGGGAGCCCGAGGCAGCAGCATCCCCAGCACCGTGTTTTGGTGCTCCCTCAAAGGTCCGCTTTGTCTCGGAGCGGGGCCTGTCCAGGAGAGCCTGAATGGCTCAATTATCCCAGGGGCTGCTCCTAAAAAATGGAGCCAAGAGGCCCAGTCAGGCTCCAAGCATAATGTGGGAACACTGAGATCTTGCAGGGGGGTTGAGAAGGGTGATTCATCTGACTGGAAGCGGGGAAGGAACTCGGACGCATCCCTTTCCGAAGGATACGGAGGAGCAGAGTCATGGTGAGGAAGGATGGAGGGTGGATGCTGCCTTCCCGACCCAACTCCTCGCCCCAGCGGGGTTTGTGCCCCTTCTGCCTGCTGGAAGGGGGATTTTCAGGCACAGCTCGGCGCTGGGGCAGGCAGGGGGGAGGCAGCACCTCCCTCTTACCTCTGATGATCACTGCGAGTCTCTCGCCGGTGGGGTCCCACACCATGGAGTGGACTTCTCCTCCGATCCTGAAACCGGCACCAGCAGCAGTGAAATTCCCCCGCTCCAGCCAACGTCCCCAACACTTGGGGGGCTGCTGAGGGGGGCACAGACCCCCTCCGCCTCCCAGGTGCTGTGTTAGGGCAACAGGCGCAGCCGGACTCACCTCTCCTCCCCGTAGAGCGTCTCGAAGGTGGTCTCAGACAGATCTGCCACGATAGAAGCTGTTTTCGAGCCGCCCACTTGCCCTTGCATCTCCCCTGAAACAAAGAGCCTGGTCACTTCTCATCTCTTGGTCAAATGACTTGTGGGTCATCTCACTCCATAAATCCCACTTTTATTTCCAAAGCGATGCGTAATTTATCTCTGTTTCTCAGAGCAGCTGTGGAGCGACGTGGTGCTCTCCCAGCAGCATCTGCCTATGCCTGGGATGGAGGACAGGGGAGGTTTCCCCTCAACAAATATCAGGACCAGCCCAGCGCACGTGGCTTTTTTCCACGGAGGTGGCATTTAACCCACTGTAAAAGTTTGCCTGCAAACTGTTTGTGACTGTAAGATCATAACTGTGAGCAAGAAGCAACGTAAGGGGGGAAAAAAAACCTACAAACTCAACCCCACAGAGATTCTCTGCTTTGAAAGACCCCCGAGACACCCTTCCCTCTGCATGTCCTGGGTTTGCGTCCATCCTTTTGTGCCCAGCAAGCTGGGAAATGCAGCTAATAAACAAAAAAAAAAAAAAAAACCCTCCGGGCCAGCCCCAGCCACAGCCAGAAGCAAGAAGATCGCTTGGGGATCAGCTGCCGACTCTTGTAAAGCTTCACCGGGGCAGCAAACTCACCCCGGTACTCCGAGAAGGACAAGGAGTAGATGACGGACTCGCCCAGTACCGTGAAGAGCAGTCGGCTGCCGTCAGGGCTCCAGCACCCCGTCTGCAGGACACAGAGCCACGTTAACGCCCGCTCCCCGGGCTGGGGAGGTGGCAGCTTGCAAAGGGACTTTTTGGGGCCAGCTGGAAATGGGGAAGTTTGAGGAAAACGCCATACACGCTGCCGGGGGCCTTAGAGACAACATCTGCCCTCCACGGGTGGGAAACGTCCCCGTCAT